CTCGCTCACCGTCCGGTGCTGCTGGTGCTGCCGCTGGCGGCTGACGCCCAGCCCGGGGAAGCAGCCGGCAGTCAGCGCCCCGCAGCCGGCGCCGCCGCCCCGGGAGGAGAGGAGCAGCAGGACCGATCTACCTGCGGCGGCCGCCATCTCTCAACTGGAAACGGCGCCGGCCCAGGCGGCGCAGCGGACGGCTGGGGCGGAGCTACGGCCTGCCACTTAGCCGAGCCGGACCAATCGACGCTATTGGCTGCGTTAATGAGGCGGGGCTTCCTGCGAAGCCCAATCGGAGGGCGGGAGAACCCCGCTTCAGGCTGCCTGTCACCTCCAGAGTTACCTATTGTGGGACACAGTCAATTACCGGCAAATTCTGGGGAACCGGTAATTGGCACTGGAGCCTCTCAGAATTAGAGATGGCATGTTCGGTGTGGCTAATCTTTACCAAGAATGGGGCTGTGACAAGGGAACTAGGGAACTAGATATTCGTGCAAAGCTTCGTCCAAAGTTGAGTTCTAAGTGAGAGTTCCAAGTTGGCTACATAAGCACCTAATTGCTAGATATTGCTAATATGAACTAGATCTGTTGGAACTCCCAACGACATGCTTAAATGATAATCTATAATTGATGTGCTGGAATTAACCTGCATGATAAGTCATCTAATGAGTGAGGTGTACATAACGTGAGAATGATTACAATATCAAAATCTCAGAGAGAGGGTGTGCCATCAGACTGAATTAGCGAACTGAGCACACTGCGAGCACTCAGTTATTTCACGGCATCTTTATAGCGACATTCTCACTCTCCAGAAGCAACACTGTTTCTTACCAAATTTGACCTTGTGTGCCTTTATTAAACTATAGAAACAGACGTTGATAATGTAAGAAAATCATGGAATAGAAACAGAAGTTGATAGTGTAAATCAAATCATGGAAAGATTAATGAAGTTTCACAATTTTGCAAACATAGCAATTAGAATACACCTTGGAATAACTGGTTTTTAGACCTGTCTCATTATGTTGCCTAGGCTAGCCTAGAATACACTAGGTATCCCAGGATGGCCTCAAACTCACCATCCTCTGGCCTCACATCTCCTGTGCTGGGATTATAGGCATGTACCATCACACTCAGTATAGAATCACTCTTTTTTTGTTGTGTTTTTGTCTGTTTGTTTTGATTTTTGTTCTTGAGACAGAGTCTTACTACATAATTCAGGCTAGCTTCAAACTCACAATCTTTCTGCCTCAGACTCCCAAGTGCCGGGATTACAGGAATGAACCATCATGCCTGACTTGTGCTAATTCTTAATCCTTTTGCCTTGATAATACTTCTTTCTACAAGGAACAAGTTGGTAATGAGGGCTCTTTGCACAGTGTGTTAAGAAAGGTGATATGGGGTCCCTGAGTGTTCTTAGAAGACTTCTTTGCTGCTTGATTACGAGCTGGTTGATTTTCACAGATCCTTTTAAGATCCAGAAAAGAAAACTGTTTTGAAAACAAAATAATATTTATAAATTCTAAAAAACATCCTTTAGAGTTTTTTTGAAATGAGTTTCTTGGCTAAGAATAGCTAAATATTGAAGTGGAAATTTTGGGTTGATTTTTAAGCCCCAGCCCAGAACAGCAAGATGATAGGTTTCTCCAGGTGAAACCATTGTGTCCTTACCACCCCAAAAAAAGTTCTTCCCCAACAAGTGAGAGCTTAGGAAAGAGCTTCGTAGAATAATCCTGCTATTTGGAATTCATGACACTTGTTGGAACAACTTCACTTGCAGTCACTTTCCACCCATCTATATTTATCACAATAGCATTTTCTGTGTTTATTCATGCTGGGCATTTTTTCCCTTCTCTCTCACCCCTTCATGCCTTCTGACGCCAATCACCATGGATTTTAATTTTGTTTTTATGTTCTGTGCGTTTGCCAAATCTGTTTACGGGCCACAACTGTTCCATCTACATCCCTACTTTGTACTTGGGGAATCTGACTGCAACTGCTCTTCCCCTATTTTTCCAAGTATGGAAATTAAATATGTACCCTTTAGTCTTGAGATTTAGTCTTGTGCTTTTGCAGAAAAATCAAACTAATCCATGTACAGTGGCACATCTGTAACCCCAGCACTGGGAAGCTAAGGCAGGAAGACTGCTGTGAATTTGAGGTCAATCTGGACTATGTAGCAAGACAATTTCAAAAACAAACAAAAAAGAATGACACTAGTTTTTTTTTCTTAAGTGCACAAACCTGAAACTAGAGATGTTACCAAAACCTTTCTGCCTATAATCTCCTATCTATGACAACGAAATCACTGATGCACCTGTTAGGCTATATAATTTTACTACCTACTGACTAAATCAGGTTCTTATAATGCAGCCTAACAGTTACTCTCAACAATGCCATTTATCTTCTCCCAGAGAAAACCTTTTCTGCAGCTGCAAAGGACGTACATGAGCTGGTTGGCCAAGTTTGATAAAGAGAAAGTGTAATACCTCATCAGAAAGTAATACTCATACCTAAGAAAAACTCATGCTCACTCATGTCCCGGGGCCATGCTGATCCTTCTAGGGATAATGCATGTAGAAGGAGGCCAAGGTAATTACATATAAAAAAAATGTTGTATGATGTTGAAGAGAAAGCTCAGCAGCAGTTAAGAGCACTGACTGCTCTTGCAGAGGACCCAGGTTTGATTCCCAGGACCCACATGGAGGCTAACAAGTGTCCATAACTCTAGTTCCAGAGGATCTGATGCCCTCTGCTGGCTTCCATGGCATTGTATGCATGTGATATAAATACTCATACACATAAAATAAAAATAAATGTTTTTTTTTAAAGAAGTTGAAGATAACCTCAATATCCTCCAGTACAGAATAGGTTAAATAAATTAGACTTTAACATTATAGCAGAGTATTACTCAACCACTTAAAGGAATCGCCCATGAGCCAGGCATGGTGGCACACACTTGTAATTGCAACACTTGGGAGACTGAGGTAGGAAGATCATGAGTTTAAGGCCAACCTGGGCTACATAGTGAATAACTAGTTTAAAACAACAACTGTATTAGCCCATACCTGTAATCCAACACTGGGGAAGCTGAGGCAAAAAGACTGCAAGTTTGAGGCCAACCTGAACTACATGGACAAGGCCTTGTCTCAAAAACAAAAATAAATAAACAACAAAAATAATTATCCTGTCTAACTTTTATACTTGACCTTAATCAAAAGGCCAAGAAATAGTGTACTTATACTTTTTGATGTATGAGTTGGTCATAGAGTCCCATACCTATAATCCCAGCCCTTGGCAGGTAAAGGCAGGAAGATCAGTAGTTCAAGGTCATTATGAACTACTTAGGGAGTTCAAGGCCAACCTGGTCTACATAGTGAGTTCCAAGACAGCTGGGCCTACAGGGAGACCCTGTCTCAAAAAGAAAAAAAAAAGTAAGAATAAATCACTTCTCAGCACTTTTGACTTGGCTAAGATCATATATAAAATGTAATAATACAGATAATAGGCTGTCATGGCTGCCCACCTTCAATCCCAGCTCTCAGGAGACAGAGGCAAACTGATCTCTGTAAGATCAAGGTCAGCCTGCTACATAGTGAGCTCTAGGATAGCCAGGGCTACACAGTGAGACTCTGTCTCAGAGGAATAAAAAGGAATACAGATAATATAATACACATGATCATTTTTAAAATATGCAATTTATTTTTAGAAACCAGAAAGATGGCTCAGCTGGTAAAAGGAAATTCTTGCACAAGTTTTGACAACCTGAGTTCAAGTCCCACAAAAGGTGGAAGGTGAGAACCAACTCTCAAAAATTGTCCTCTGACCTCCACACGGGCACCCAGGCATATGCACATACCCAGGTAATAAAGGAATGTAATAAAAATTTTTAATTATATATAATTTAGATAGTGAGCTCTGAAAGAATGAACAAGAATGCAAATTGCCTCTGGGAAGTTTTGAAGGCTACCTACTCTTTTGAGTAATTTAAGTTGGTCCCACTGCATATTAATTTTATAATTTAAAAATACAGTCATTAAAACACGCATGGTTGCACAGTTATTTCTGTGCCAATCATTAAAAACAAGCTGCTTTTTAGAATTTTTTGTTTATTATTTTTATTCTATGTGTAAGAGTGTATTGCCTGCACATGTGTAAGTGCACCTGTGTCGTGCAGTGCCCTCAGAGGTCAGAAGAAGATGCCAGATGCCCTGGAATCGGAGTTACAGATCATTGTTAGTCACCATATAGGTGCTGGGAATTGAACCTGGGCCCTCTGCGAGAGGAGCCAGTGCTCTTAACTGCTGAACCATCTTTCTAGCCACAGGTTGCTTTTTTTTTTTTTTTTTTTAAACTAAAGCTAATTGGAGCAGACTTCCTAGAGTATGAAACTTTAACTGGTTTCCATACTAAAATGAATCCTGAAGTCAGCTCCCAGGTATGACTCAACTCAATGGAGCAGTTTCCTAAATGTTTCAGAGCAGCTAGGGTGGGTTAGGCAAGCACGCAGGTCACTGACCAGAGCAAGGAAGCATGAAAGGAATCTCCTCAGAGATCTGCGGGCTGGGCGTCATGGTTCACTCATAATGTGAAGTATTATTCAAGTGACATCAGCAGCTCTGAAGGAACAGGAAAGAAGGGCAAAAGGAGAGCGTATGGCCCTCAAATGTTTATCAGGAACCACAGCCCAGACCTCTTGGCTTGTTATTTTTGCTTCGTCCTTTCTGAATGCAGTTTTTCCCGTTTCTCTGCACCCATCCGAGGTCCCTCCTCTGTCACCACAGCTCCGTTCCTGTAACTTCCTAGCTCCTGTGATCTTTTCTCCTTTCTCTGGCAGCGTGTCTGTATTGTATTTCCAGTTAATGTAGCTGAGAAAAGCTTAACTAACCTTAGACCCTCTATGTATTTCTTTATATATATTTATTACATATGTATCACTTCATTACACATATATTTATGTTCTCCTTTCTTGTTTTTATTCTCTTCTTCCTTCAATACTCCACTTTCCCTACTCTAACAGAAACTCACTCGAGGTCAGAGGTATATTTACACAATCCTTCTAAAAATGTTTGTTTGGTAAGAGGCTCATGTTTTGATACCCAAAGGGTGACTGACCTCATATTTTATAGCTTACTGACCATACAGTCTAATATTATTTTAGGTCAGGAACACACACTCTGCAACCTTTTCTATC